GTAGGGAAAACGTTTAAGCATCTAAGATATATTGTGGCTTGAAACTTCGATCCTATCCTCAATCAAAAACATCTTTGACTCTTTCTCTCTCTCTTCATTTATTGCTTTTCCACTTTTGTTATCCGCGTTCATGGGAGTCACAAGTCTCCGTTACCATTCCCTTTAAACTACACCATTGTGAAAAGAGTCCCTTCACTGGGGTACCCCAAGCCCACCATACTATAAGAGTCCAAGTTGATTAAAGCATTCAATTGCATGCTCATTCATTTTGAGAAGATGGTATTGGAATATTTGAGCAAAAGATGCTGTGAAAATCTTCCACGGGTGACGGAAGATTCCTAGTTGGTCATTTTCAAGATCCTCATCACACATCGCGTGGGTCTAATAGGCAGATTCAGTGGGCAACACAACAGTGGCCATTCACACTAGACGAGCTCATTCAAGGCATGATATTGCGTTCAACATCCACTCAATAAGGCACTTCTTTGTATTCATGAAACAATTTCAATGTCAATAAGAATTACGAGTTGGTGAACATGATTAGTCGTATCACAGCAAATCCATGCAACTAATGAGCTATTAGAGATGCAATGACCTCTACATAATCACCTGAAAAATTTATTTAGGGTTTCACTTTAACATAAAAATGATTTATACAAGGTCTACCCTAATAGCAGCATCAAGAATAAGATATGTGGCTCTTAGATAAATTCATTGATTATTTTAATCCTTTTGAAAGAAAAATCCATGACCGATTAACATTCAAATTTGCTTGAACTTCTCTATTTTTTCCATGATATACAATAAAAGGAAGCACCTGCTTACAAGTAGGTTACAGATGATCGTTTTAGAGTATAAGTATTTCACAAATTTTACAAGCCTTCCTCATACTTTCTTACCAGATTATAGAAAAAGGAGTACATGTTCTACTGCATCAATAAAAAGCCAGTCTTTCACCACTAGCTACCAAAGACACAACTCAAACTCCATTAACATACATAATCCAATATTTTCTTCACCTAATTAAAAATATGGCAATGAAATTTCCCAAGACAATCTGGTTCCATTCATTGAAAGCATTGTATGGAGATCAATATTTGGAGATATGGATGGATCAGGGGTTAGAATAATAGAAAGTTTGATGAATGACCTGATTAAGTTGATGTTAACACCACATTATCTTAGAAATGCGCGCAATGATGATATACGAGAAAATTAAGACAGCAGCACCTGACCTTTTCAAACTATCAATATGCATTTTCATCTAGGGGCAATCATGGATGATAGAATCCTAATTATTTAGGTTCATTTCATATCATGTCGACACATCATATTTTTACACTAAAGGGAAGTCGAAACAAAGAGATGCTCAATCCTTATTTTTATGATAAAAATATCGAACTTACCAAGGTAAATCTCAAGTTATAAAAAATTATCAACTTAACACCAGATCAGTCTAGAGATTCATTCAATGAATCAAGCAGGTAGTGTATTTTATTGTTTCATACATGGTTAATTAAGGAATTTAGCGTCTTAATTTTCTTTTCTTTTTCTCTTCCCCTAAATGCCATGACCAAGCATTTATATGATCATATTAGGAGATTAGAATTAATACTCTTAAAAGGGTCCTTCTAGTATATGTTTCCATTGCTAATTCGTTTTCCCCTAAATTCAACAGCCTGGTTCCATTTGGTTTCTCATTTCTTAGGCACGTTCAGATCAGTAAAATAGGAAAAGCAATAATCACCAAATGGGACCAATACTATTACAAATCAAGACATGATTCTGAATTAGTATTGCAATGCCTACATGTATAGGAAACGATTCCTTTGCTAAGAGAAATTTCGAGCCAAGCTTAAATCCAACAGTAAGGGCACTTACTGAGAGTACCACAGCACAGAAGACATCCACTTACAGACTATAGGCACAAGCCCTTGTTTGCAGCTAGCAAGCACCCTGTGTTGAATCTGCAATATTAACCATCAG